GTCCCGACGGCTTCAATGACATCTCCAGGCTCCAGCTCATGGCGGACCCTGCGATGCTTATCTTCCGAGATCTCCTCTGCCAGTTGCCGATCTGGATCCAAAGATGAGCTACACATGCGAAGAAAACGCCGAAGAGGACGTACCATCTATCTCGGTCGCAGATATCTCGTATGATTCTGCCCAGGGTGGTACTTCGACTTGGGGTCCAGAGATGTCGACATCAGGTACTTCGATATCACGTATATTCTCGTCCTTGGTATCAACCCTTGAGCTAGGGGTCTTCTCGCTCTGGGGTTCCAGTTTCTTCCTTTACATGTTTTATTAAGAGAGGCATAGCAATGAAGTCAAACGTAACGTACCTTATCCTGTACGGACCCTCGGTTTCGTCGAGTCGCCAGGATCGAGTGCCATTGTCAGGCCAGAGCCCACGTTCGGACGTCAGCAGATTGGCCCATTCATGCAAAGACGATATCTGCCGACGAGTTTCTCGACTAAACAAGTTGGAATAAGGCTTGGAAGAGCACAGTACGAGAAGAAGGACATACAGGTCTAGCACCGTCTTCCGTAACCGCTTCCGCTCGGATATTTGGATCGTCTTCCTCCACTCTGACATCCGGGCAGCAGTCTTAATGACGGTCCTTTCGCCGACGTGCATGCTGAACCTAGCAGAAGCTATCCGTTGGCGCACTGATCGTGTGTCGGAAACAAGCGTCGGGTCGATTGTGAGTTTCTCCGCAGATGGGTTCAATACCTTGTTTGCTAGTTGTATTGTATCCAAGATCTGAGCGAGGCTTTGTCAACAACAACCAACGACTGCTATATAGAGGTACCCACCTCACGTTTCTGGCCACCAGAAATGAATGGATCGAGGGCCAGGGCCATGCCAAGGTGCGTCATCTTTTCCAGAATTCGCCTCGTCCATTGATTTATCCCTGACGCACCGTCGACTTTGTTCACGAAGGCCTTGAAGGTGTCGACAAACAATTGGGTTGTTTGTTGGGATTTGAACACTTGGCGGAAGGTAGGGCTAGACGCGTGGAGGTCCATGACCTCTTCCACAAGGTTCTCCATGCTGGATTCTGTCGACCACGAAATCTGGGCGGATGTACCTAGCGAGCATGCAATGCCTAATCAACAAACTACCTGTAAAGTAAGGCTAAAAAAGGAAACATACTATCCGAGTCATCAGCTACATGGCAATTATTGGCAACCGAAACAAGGCCAGTTTGCAATGCAGAGAGGATAGCTGGAACCATATTCGGACAGACCACAGTATTTGGCGTCTGTAAGGGCGACTTCTTGATATGATTGAATCGACCGAGAAGAATGTCGAAGGAAGTCTGGTTGACTCTGGGATCCCAACAGTACGGGAGAACGGTCTTCAAAACGCTCCAACCACTGATCAGCTCAAACTTCCGACTGAAGGACGGGGAGATTGTGTTGCTGACGCCGATGAGGGTGAGGACCTGGGTGGCGATAGCCGGCGTGGGGCGGTCACTAAGGAGCAAAAGGCAGATTCTAGTCAAAGGAAGTGCGGTGGCAAATTGGGCATGGAACGACTGTATAGAGATGGTCGAGATGAGTATTTCTAGGACCTGCTCAGCCTTTTCTTGGGGGTTCGTATAATCTATACGTGAGATTATAGAGTGTGGAGAGCTGGCCCCTTTTGGGTCTACGAGGAATGTAAACACAGCAATAATGGAGGAATGGCATATCTAGAGAATCCCACCTTCATGCAAATTAGCAGCGAGATAAGCAACGACTGGTTTGATGGTATCGTCTTTAGAAAAGTTGGCCCGAATTGCAGCCTTGAGCGCGTCCATGACAAAGGGTATCATGTCCTGGTGGAACCAGTCGGTCTGCAGAACAAATAAAAGCCTCCGAACAAGCCCCAATTTCGCGAACTTCTGACGATTGTTGAACTTCCTATACCGGCTCGTTTGGAGCACTGTTGGAAAGTGCTCCAGGTAAAGCTGTTGGATCTCCGTTTTCACGCGAGACCATAGCTCGAAATCCAGTGCAATGGCCCTGTATGCAACTGTGTTTACGACAGTTGATTGACTACAGCGTGGAGATGAGTGACTAGGTTGTGGTGTAGGCGATGTCCACAACGTACTCTGGTAAACGGAAGTTCATGCCAAGAAACTCGAATACGGTCTCGAAGCCGGTAACGTTGATCAACTGAGCTTTGCTTCGCAGAATGTCTGCTAATATTTCGTAGCCACCTTTCGAAGCCAAGTTCCCATCAGGTGAACGGCTCATTAAGAAAACAACAAGAACTTACGAATCCTCTCCATGTCCTCCGAGTTCTGCCAACTATTCTTGAGCCCATCCGCAAACACCCCCAATGCCCTCGAAACCTCATGTTGCGTCTAGAAAAACCAGTAAATAAATGGCACCCACGTGGGAAAGCACTAATAAACCCACATTCGCAACCTGTACCAACCGCAGCGCAACTGCTGCTCCCCCAATCTTCCACAACGCCGAATCCAGGCAAGCAGCCTTAACCACGAACACATCCCCCTCATTCTTAAACTCCCGCGCGAACCCATTCACCGGCACGGCCGTACTGGGTCCCGACTGGCGTGCATTAAGCGGCGACACCGCAAACGCAATGGCAGACTCGGGGATCCCGAGTCCGTGCTTCACGGCCCTCATGACTGCGGACTGCGTGGTTGAGCTGGGCTGCTTACTGGCGACGGTCGCGAGGAACATGTTGAGTGACGTTGATGCTTCGTATGTGAGGAACTTGAAGAGCGCGGGGTCCTGGAAGTTCCCAGCGTAGCGTGGGCCGAGGTGGTGTATGAGTCGGGGGATGTCGTCGCCTGTCAATGGGTGAGTGCGGTGCCTATATAGTTTAGGAGAATTATACCTAGCGGGGTGGCCAGTAGATACGCAGACGCAATACACCAGCTCATCTTTGCCGTACTGGAGGCGTCACCGATGGTGTATGTGCCAAATTGCGCTGCGTCTGACCTAAGGTACGCCCAGTCCAAGGTATCACTCAGCACGCCGTCGAGGAAGAACCCTGGAGGTAGTTTTAGCAGAGTTGTTATCGATCACAGGCCGAACTCACGGAGTGCTGGGGTCGAAGCACGAGTTGGATAGTGTACGAGTGTCAGATGCATCCAACGTGCTGTATGAACCTTAGCGCCGCTAAGTATCGCCGTCTCCTGGTCACTAGCTGTATAAATCCTGATGCTGCCTTCCTCATCAAGTGAAAGACATAGGATCACTCTGTCCAGTAGCTTAATGGTGAAAAGAGCATGGGTTGCGCTCGGAAGGGAAGAGACCCATATCCAGATCTGCAAGCGTGAGAAACAACGCAATTCAAGATTGTAGAGAGACCTACCATGAACGTGAACCCCGCCGTCGGCAGACCTCTACAGTTGTCTTCTCGGAGAACCAACGCCGCCGGTGACTCCATCGAAAAGTGCTCGAGCCAACGCGACTTGATCCCAAACCTCACGACGTCCAAAATCTCCGTGTCGAGCGTCTTGTCCTCCTTGATCACCTTCTGAAATATAAGTCTTGCCTCGGACGTCGTCGCGCCCATGTCCAGCAACCTTCGGAGTAGCTTCTGCAAGATGTGCCGCTCCTTGTCGGAGACGTTAGGATCTCCCCTCGCACTGTCGAACCGCTGAAAGAGCGACCGAACGAGTCCGAGGGTGCTCAGGATAGCCTGGTTCCGGTGGCTTGCACGCGCCAGCAACTCGAATAGCTTGAGAATAGTATAACGCATGACGTCATCGTGCACTGCGACCTGTGGGATTGCATTCCAGAGGATGAGAATGGCACCCGGGCGCCGTATGAGCCCCAGGCGCCCCTCGAGTGCCACGTCCAGCTGGTCCGCTGGTGTCGTGCGCAGCGAGGAGAAGATGTCGGAGAGAGTGAAGTCGTGTGTAGCGAGTGCGAGTATGAGTCCTAGTGTATGGTCGACGGTATCAGGATTCGTGATCAGACCGCGCAATGCGTCCTCAAGTGAACCATATCCCACAATGTTCTGTGTTTCGTTTCGTCAGAAGAAAGGAAGGTTCAGCAGAATCACCACTCACCCTGAAGTATTCCGCGTTCTCAATGTGCTCGTGCATTGCCTCTGAGAGGTCATGAATCACCAGCCGTGTGGTCTCGCGCACATCGGCCAGTACCTGCTCTGCGGGCTCAATGACGAGTGCGTGCGTGCGGTCCTGGACGTTCGACAGCAAACTCATGAGGATAAGGAAGCCGTCCAGCTCTCGAAACACGTCCTTCGTGCGCATCTCCTGCTGCAGGATCCTCTGTATCTCAGCCAAAACCTAAATAGCCATCAGCGTCTCCCACATCCCCGTAGTCGAAGTACGCACCTGTATCTTCATCTGGGTGTCCTCAGCAAGCTTCAAGTTCTCCACCGAGTTGCGCATGAGCTCGATCATCACGTCTCTAGCGAAATCCTCCGGCGCCCACTCTTCCTCCTCCTCCTGGGGGGCCAGGATAGGCGGTGCGGTCGTCCGCGGCGTCGATAGGTCGAAGCGCGCACGGAGAGGTGTTAATAGGGTCCGTAACATCGTTTCTGAGCGTATAGGCGATACCAGAGGTGCATGCCCCAAGTTTTGCTGGCAAAGATCCGCTCAACGTCGAGCAATGGCCACTCGTTTACTTGACGGGTACTGATTGAGTGACAGCCATGGTGATCGTTGTAGTGATGGCGAGGTCGCGCGGACTTTAAAGCACACAGTTGTCCCTGGCAGCAGCTCTGTCCAGTCAAGCTCTTTTGAGGATCTTGGGTGTGGGTACAGAAGTAATAAGCAGGAGAGGACTCCAAATTTTTACGATTTCGTTGAAATAATAAGGGGTACGGCATATACCTGCCTTGACTTATCTCATTTCAAATAGCACGAAAATGACACTTCAACAGAGTCTTGCTGGAAGTTGACCGTACTTATATGAAGGAAGGTAGCGATAGGTTGTAAGGGAACGTATGTGTACGTCGCGATTGTCCACCAGGCTTGGAGCAAAAGGGTTGGAGACTGTGAGGATTGAACTCACGACCTCATGCAATTCCGCAGTTTGCGAAGCATGCGCGCTACCACTGTGCCAAGACCCCATGTCTCAGGGTCTTTCATTGGGCCTGACGATACGACTGCCGTTATCAGGAAAACTTCGCAGGCATGATATGACTAGGTGCCCTGATCGTGACAAAGCATTATGTAAGTGAGAATCTGATAATGTCCAATCAACTTGCCCGCGCGCCTCAGCACGCGTCATCTTGCCGAACCATGTGGGTGCAGGGGTGCAGTATGGTAAGTTCGTAGCTGCTATTTCAAGATTGGTTCTTGACGATCTCTCAGAACCATTTTGCCCCCCTCAAGCAATCGTTGCTGTTGAACATCGCCCTCGGTTCCCTGAAGGATGTCGGCAGCGAGGGTCCCGGCTTCCCGCTCCACCATGTAATCTTATATCGAACTTCAACATACCAACGTCAATACCGCATGCTCCGATGAGCTCGCGTCGTGACTCAGCATCCAGTGTCAGCCTGCCACACATGCGCCCGCCGTGCCTCCCCTCCCAACTCCAATGACGCACTCAGCAACGACATGTGCTCTCCTAGCAGCAGCACCCCAAGCGCCCTCCCAACGAGGCCCAGCCATTGCACGGCATTCAGGCGTCTGCGACTGGCGCTCGTCCCGCAACCCGGTCAAGACTTGGAACATCGGAAACACACTTACGCCCCGCGCAGGTCGGTGATGGACGCGAGTTGCACAGTGACAAGCAAACGGGAAAGAGATCCACGAGATGCGCTGTGGTTTAGTCGTGGTACTGCTTCACATTCGGATGGTGGGTTTTCGACTGATCTGCGTACTGGATATCTTGACGAGCTTTCCTCCCTCAGAAACAAGAGTTGCTTCCGTCATTGAGGTGGTCCCTCCAATCCATGCCTTCAAGGCTACAGAATGGCGTCAAGGAAGAGGGGATTTGTCGGCTCCTTGTTGTCTGTTTTCCGCAAGATGTCGACCCCGCAGCTCCACACACCAGCCCCATATATCTGCACCACTCCCAAGCTCGCGCTGCATCGGCTTCACTGTGGCACGAGAGTTGCCCCCACCGAGTAGAGCTCGTCGGGTGTTCCTGCTCCTTACATTCAAGGCTGCAGATGGAGGTTGTATGTCGACTCTACTCGCCCTTGGTTCACTGGAACTCCCCGTTCTCCGGCGTGCGATCTCACATTGAATTTCCAAACGCCGACACTTCTCTTGATGCGCCTTGACTTGATCGCATGGACTCGGACAGTGTATCTGCCGCCAATCGAATCCCCGCCGTACCAGGTCTGTGCAGATCACCCAGAGTGCCTGCTACGGAGCGCTGCACATGCAGCCCACAATCTCCCTTCTACAAAGCTAGGCACGGCGTGAGCACGGGGCTTCTGCATGCATCCACCCTTTCCCTACTCCAGATCTACGAGCGCCGAGCATGCCTTCGGGTACCGTGGAAGGAGCATAACAAACACGCCTGGATATCAGTATCAAAATCGTTGGAACTTGGAGTGTTGCCTCGCGTAACCGGTCGATGATGAAAGCCACCGTACTTGCAGCAGCAGCAGTGGCAGTACCAATTCCTTAACAAGCTCCGTTTGTTTTCTTACTCCGGATCTACGAGCGCCGAGCGCGCCTTCGGAGAAAGTGGAACAGATCCCAGATATCGGATCGTTGCAACAGTGGAGAGTGCCGCCTCGGTCGACGATGACTGTACTTGCAACGTCAGTAGCAGTCCCATTCCTCATCAACTTCTGCCTAGCCTCTGAGTGCAGCGATCCCCATCCCCTGCCTGCAAACACCCGACCCAACCGCGCCAACGCACCACCTCAATAGCTCGCATTCCACCCCTCCCGGCGTCCAGCTATGCAAGCCCCTGGCCTCCGACAAACCCACGCTCCCTGAACCAATTGGACCAGCAGCACTAGCCGCACAAACAACAGTCGCAATCCCTCGACAACCTCCGTCTGCCCTCTGAGCGCGGCAAGCCACATCCCCATTACATACGCATCACACCTCCCAGCCGCGCCAGCGCAATCAACGGTAGCGGTGCCGTCGGCTTCCTTTCCTCCCGCGGCACAGTTATCGTATGGGTCTTAACTTTGACCATAGCCCACTCGAGACTTCAAGACCAGCAACACGTCCACGCCCACGCCCTGGAATTGGCTCTTACGCAGTCGGTTCTAGACACGAGTTGCCCGAGGACAAACGAAAAGGGAAGGAGATCCCGAGGGCCCAGGGTGCGATATTGCTCGTTCGTGAATGCCAAAACTCAGATGGTGAGTTCATGATCTGCGTACTCTACGTGTTCTTGACCATTTGCTTTTTCTCGAACAAGAGTTGCTCCCGCCTATCAATCTGTGTTTTCCCGATAGCGCCCACACCCTGTGATAAGAGGATGCCCAGGTCAACACCCTGTTCTGGCTCCCGCTGAGAAGGGGTAGATCATCTGACGGTGAGGCAAGTCGACGGTGGGGGATTTGCGGTAGTCAGGAAGGACATGCCCTTGGCGGAGGCGGTAGGGATCTCGAAATGTTGAGCGGAGCATTGCGTGATGTTGGGAAGCAGGATCACGGAGATTGACGGAAATCGTGGATATTCGACTGGTAAGCTCGCTGTTGCTCTTCGCAGTTTGATTTGTTCTTGACAAGCTTTGTTCCCTTCTTTGTAGAACGACATGCCCTCGTTGAATATAGAATTCTCGGGAGGTTCTCCCATGATCGAGAATGCGACAGTAGTGGAGGTTGTTGGGGTCGCTTTGGAGGCCTTTGGGATCTTGGAAGGTATGGGCGAGGGTGGTGATGAGATCGAGGTCGAGGGAGGGCCAGGGAGAATATTGATGGTTGTATAAAGTGGGAACGCCTCAGATCATTAGGCTGTACTTGAGGGGGACACCTTCTATTCAAATTTAGTGAGAAGAAGAAGTAAAATTCGTGAGCGTTTTGTAATTATGTATCAACTATAAATTTAGCACTCAAATTAGAACATTGCACCCTCTCCAAATAGCCTCACGAACTTATTGAGCACCGACACCATCATTCGGGTACTCTATCTCAGGGACGCTCAATCTCGCCTCCAAAATTTTATCAAGGGCTACAGTACGACCTCAGCATTGAAGACATGCAACAGATGTGCGCATGAGTTTCAAGGAATCGAATAACTCCTCCACGCTCAACCTACAGGTAATACAACGTCCAGCTCATCTTCTTGTACCACTCGTACTGTGCCTTATAGTTCTCACCACACACGACTTCAACAAACCGATCCCAGACCTCGTCGCTCCCGCCACACCCGTCTTTCCCTTTCCCGATAGACATCTTATCCTCCGCCTGCTGCTTCATGCACGCGTACTCAAACCACTCCGGGTAGAACCCCGCGCAACCCCAATCGAGCAGCCAAAGCCTCCCATCGTTGCCCAGTATGATGTTCCGTAAGCTAATTCGCTTGTGCGTCAATGCAAGGGGAAAAGAGTCGTCGAACGGTTCCGTGCACTGTGGCCCGGGGCCCTACTTTGACGGGTCGAGCGTCATTTGCTGACGTTTGTTGAAGAAGTCGGACAGCGCACTGTACGACGGGAAGGGGCCATGTATTTCGACAACGCCCCCGAAGAGTGACGACTCCGTGCACACCCACGCCTCGCGTCCTGGAGCTGGGGGCCCGGGAACGTCGTGGCGCAACGCGCGTAGCTGGAGCACGTACCCATGCAGTATCTCGGAGACACACATCATCTCTTCCTCGGACATAGCAGGCCATGACTGGAGAAGGGATGGACCCGGAACGTAGTCCATGATGATGAAGTCGACCCTTTTCACCGACACGAGGCGATGCACATGGGGCACGGGAATAGTAGTAAACTCGTGAACGCGCCGGAGGGCTAGGTACTCGGAAGGAACTGTGGCTGTTTGCCCATCTATTGCCACTCTAGCGATGATGCCAGGGGCGATGAGACGGGTGTTGGAATTGCCCCGCGGATCGAGATGGGACTATTTGGACATCAATCCCATGATCTCCTCGTCAGTCAAGTTGTCGATATTCACCCGCTTCACATGAGGTCAATTGAAAAATCTTGGGATGCATTGCCTTCACATACTACGGCTTCCACTGTTGTTGGGTTTGCCATACCAGCTGTGAGAGGTTTCGGCTAGATTGATTCGGTCAGCAAAAGGGGGCTTGTGGTTGAGCACACTACCGCCGTGACAGTGTTTATCTGCTGTGAGGGTAGATGCAGTCCAAGTTCAGTATTTGCGCGTCCGTTGCTCTCGTATGAGTGTACGGTCAGAGGCTGTAAGTCTCACTTACGAAGTTCTACTTGTGTTTCACCTCACGATGATCTGGGCTCATTGATTGCGGAGGCACTTCCTTGCAGCGAAGATGTATAGGAGGGTACGAGTAGTCTTGAAGTCATTATCCATGCCCGAAGACAATATCCCGAGTCGACCCAATGAATTGTGAAACATTATGACAGGTGCCGCCGCCTCGAATAGCGCCGTGCCACGAACGGCGGGGAGCTCTGCAGTTATGTTTTGCTGGTGGGTTTGAATAACGTTATACGTTACTAACGTAGGTGGACTTGTATGTTGTATATATGCCGCCATTGTATGATTCTTGTCCTGGTGTGATTGTGGTTTGCTTGCGAGATGACGTCACAGTAGTCTGACGTATGTAGTATAGTCAACAATTGTGGCGTATGCTAAGAAATCTATGATTGAATATAACCGAAAAGCGTTGCAAATACTCTCTAATGTGTTAACAAGAATAATGTACATGTTTGATTTTCCTGGAAAGAATATAGCTAAGATAACAGGTCAGAACATATCATTTACAAGCCACACACCTCGCGGGTTGCGACTAATCATCTGACGCAAAATCCATCCACCGCGGCGTCAGTCAGCGCTCCAGCGTATCTTGAGACCATTGTATGACCTCCACATCGTGAGCGCGTTGCAAATCCTCTCGTGTTCAGTTCGTCGCGACGACGATGCAGATCTGGGGGCTACTACGTGTGATGCGCTTGTTGGGAAGCTGTTTAAACAACATCTTGCCCCAATAGTGGTACTTGCCGCTGCCGATGCTA